GCCTCCCTGCCTCAGGTTCGGCTTCACCTCTCCTTCCAAACCCCAGCCCTTCTCTTGCATATGTGAAAATGTTAATTTGTTAATTATCAGACTTAACAGCTCCAACACCGGCTTCCCGGAGCTGCAACCTCTCAGAGCTACTGGGTCTGAGATCTGACAAAATCTTGATGTGGTTAACCCCTGCCTGCCCATGTCCTTCTCTCTGGCTCCCTTTACTCAGCCACCATCCTTAGGCCTACTTCTACAACTTTGCCAAGACCTCTTCCCCACTTCCACTGCTCTCCCTCTGGGGACTTCCTCCCTTCTCCTCCCTTGCCCTCTGCCTTCCCAACCACTTTTCTCTGTCCTACCCACCTTGCCATCCCTCAACCCCAATCACCTGCATAGCGCAAGGGAGCATCCTTGTCCAAGGCAAAGAGTGGTGGGTTCAGCAGGACCGTGTTGTCATTCTCCATGACGATGCCTTGGTATTCTGCCTCGATCCATGGCTTGTGTTTGTTGGCTGACCCCCACCCAGGGAGAGAAGAGGACGCACCTGTGAGCTGGCTCTCCAGTCCCACACAACCCAGACACACACTCCAGCATTATCACCCTTTCCACCCACTGCAGAAACACCTGCAGGAGGAAGGGCTGAGGACAAGAAATCAGCATTAAAGGAATCAGAGGGTCTGTGAGAGGTCACAGCCTTCTCCTATGGCAGGATTGGTAGTTTCTGTGGCAACAGCCTACCCTGGGGGAGGAGGGGGACCACTATCTCCCCTAGGAAATGTGGTCAGAGGTGAAGAATTTTTTCAGGGATTTCAAGTGCTAGAGAGTGGTGACTGGAGATTCAGGGAGCAGTGATGGGCCATCAGAAGGCCCTGGGAAAGGAAAGGCATAGATTAAGGGCAGAGTTGAGATTAGAAAAAGAAGATCTAGATGTTTCCTGGGATCCTGAGTGTTTACCCTCTCCACGGCCACCATCACCCCATTTCAGTCTTGATCCCTCCACTCTGCACTTCTCCCAGCCAAGCCCCAACCTAAGTCCATTCATCCTAAGAGAAGGGAAAATATAGGACAGAAGGAGGGGGACAGAGAGGGGCAGGGATGGAGCAGAGGAATCAATGCCGAATGAGTGGACCCAGCACAGCCGACATCCTAAGGGATTATTGAACTGGCCTAGAAACAGGACAAATCGCCTCCCTGCTTCTCATCCCTACAGCCAAGAGAGCACACTCATAGCCAGCACATCTCTGTGTCCCCCACAAGACCACCAAACCCCACACTCCCTGAACCCCACTTTTTATAGACTCATGACTTAGTCCTACCTCCTGCCTACCCCACCCCTCTTCCCTTCAACTACCAGCCAACCAGGAGGGTTGCGGGACTCACTCAGCCTCTAGATTTCCCCATCTCCTGCCACATTCAGCTCACTCAATTGTGTCTCCTCCCCAGGACCGACCTCCCATTAGCCTGGGGAGGGGCTACGGGGAAGGCACAGTGTTTTCCCTTCCCCTCTAAACCACCCCCCACCCCAACTGCCACTGCCTGCTCTATCTAACCCCACCATGCCAACCACCAAGCTCCCAAAGCACATTCATGACGGTCTGTCAGTGGAACATGGGTGGAGGAAGACATACCATCAGAGGGAAACCGAGTCACCAACAGGCAACATGCCCAGTATGTGACGGTGATTTAAAAATCCTGATTTCCTATCTTTCCTCCGACCACACCACTAAAAGCCTTCTGGTACCCGAATGCCTGCCCCTTTCTTGCAGATGACCACCAAAACCCCCTTCTCTAATGGCAGAGGAGAAAGCCACAAGATGGTGCTCAGAAGGCAAGCACAGGAAGTGGCAGGAGGCTAAGAAGCTGGGCTGAGGTCAGAGACTGAGGTGAGGAACCACAGCCTGAAGATGAAGGGGCTGCAGAGCAGCAAGGCCAATGCTGGGTACCTTCTCCACAGCTCGCCCCCAGGTCTCCCTGTTCCTCTCCTCTTGGCCACAGACTCTCCATGTGTTCACTTCCTTCACTCACTCCTGGCTCCCTGCCCTTCCTTCCTTGGCTTTCCCTTCCCCCTCTCCTCACCTGTTCTTCTTGATTCCCCTTTCAATTTTCAATCTTCTCTTTTTTTTTTTTTTGCCTCCACCTTTACCCTCTTTACCCTCCTTCTCATCCCCCTCCCACGCCTCATCTCCCTTGTCCTTCTCAGCTTTCCCTCTCACCACTCATTTAGCAACCCCCCACACACACACCCACTTCTTCCCTTACCTGCCTTTCTCCACCCACCTGAGCCCTCTTCCCCCAACCCCTCTCTCCCTGCCCCCTCCTCCCCGGTCCCTGTGCTGGCCTCACCCAGCTGAATTTCTCTGCTGTCTGCCAGAGAGGGCAGCTCTGGTAACCCTCAGCCCAGCTGTATGCAGGGTATGGATGCAGAGGAACACGCCAAAACATACGTGCTCCGAATTGCTGAGCTGCAAGGAACTGTTTCTCCCCAGGATGGGATGGAGATGAACCAGATGGATCTGCCACACACCCTTAGTGCGGGCACACCCCAGTGAACACAGAGAACCATCCAGAGATGCCTGTCACCCTTCAGGGGCAAGTCCTTCTGAGACCTGAGATTTCTCCCGCAGGCAGAAACTGGAGGAAGGGGAGACAGAGACCCCAGGATGGAAATGAGGACCATATGGGAGCCAGAGAAGCACTGGGTAGAAACAGCCCAGAGAGGATGATGTGCGGAAGGGGATGTGAGGGAGAGAAGGGGGCAGCTCTCAGAAAACGGATGGGAAGAACCCACACCTGTCATTTGCCAGAGAGCTTCAACAGCCCCTGCTCACCCCTACCCCCACATGGCTCTGCCGGATACCCCTCTTTCAGTGCCCCCTCCCCCACCTCACTCACCTTTGTTACCGGAGCTGGAGGGGAGCAGGGAGGCCAGCAAGAGGGGCAACAGCAGAAGGGTCATGGTGTGGTGTGGGCAGGGCACGGCAGGGCCAGGCGATTGCTCTCCCCCAGGAGCCTCCAGCCGGCTGATTCCACCTTGGGGGAGGGATGCAGGGGCTCTCCAAGGAGGGGAAGGAAGATAGTGGGCCACAGGGCAGGGAGAGAAAAGAGCCAGCCGCCCACACTAGTCCATAGAGCAGACCTAGTCAGACCCCAACCTGGGTGGCTGAGGTGGGGAACTTGCAGTGGCTTCTCGTTCGCTCTTGAGCCGGGCGTCCTCACTCTCTCCCTCATTCCCACCCCATCCCCGCTACTGCAGGATGACGTCAGCACCGCCAGGCGAGGACTGATGGGGCCGCTGGCCAATCGGGTGGCTGGGGGGGCCAGGTGCTGCAGGGGGGGGGGGGGCGCCAATGGGACTGGGGAGCAGGGGCGGGAGACTGTGGTAGGGCTTTTTCCCTAGACTGCAATTTGGGGGGGCCAGGGAACTGCGGGGGCTGGGGCGGAAGCTGGAAAACCGTAGAGGGGGTGGAAAATAAGAGGGACATTGGGAGAATGGAGAAGCTAGAAGCCCGGGGGTGGGAAAGCGAGACGTCAACGGAGACCTAAGGGAGGCGAGGAGGGGCAGTATCACGTCACCCTCCGGGCCTCCCCCCCCCCCCCCCCCCCCCCCCGCAACAACCAACTCTGCATTAACCTCTTTTCACAGCCCAGCCCATCAGCAGGTCCCTGCTGCGTGCCTCCTGGGAGCCTTGAAGCAAAACCCACAGCCTGAACCCAAAAGATCCTAGCATTTCCATTCCCAGCCCCAGGTGTCTGAGGAAACCATGGGATGGTCAGCAGGGAGGTAGAAAGGGTTCCGGGACTGGAGAAAGAGTGAGAGATTCCACACACACACCCACACACACCTGTCCAGACAATTCACTCCTAGGTGGGATTTTTTTCCACTGCCTAGGCTCCCTGTCTCCCTCTCCCCGAATTTCCCATCTTAAACCATGATGAACCAACTCAGCTGATTCTGAAGCCAGGGAAGTTGGTAGGTTTGAGGGAGAGAGACAGAAGGGGGTGGGGGTGAAGGTGGCAGCCCCCACCATGGTAATACATCTGGTAAGCATGGGCTGTCCAAAGGCTGGGAACTGGAGGTGATGGGACCATCAGTGACTTCAGAGGGAGAGGGAAACCCCTGGGTCCCAAGCCAAAATTCTCCAGAATAGCCAACCAAACTCCTCCCACACTTTCTGCCCCAGACTTTGAACTCAACACCTCATCAAGCTGACAACCCCTTCTGTGCTTGGGAAGAGCAGTTTCTCTGCCTCCTTCCTGATGGCCCTATAGGCCAAAGAGTTTGGAATGCCAGAGTCAGGGACCCAACTCAGCGAAGCTGTCTGAGGGAACTGTGGGACGCAGCACTAGAGCATCTCTTTCACTGTGGCTCCTGGCCAGCAGACTATCCCCCATCTTTCTCCACCTCTTCCTCCTCATACCTTTCAGGATCCTGTCTCAGTCCTAGGATCTCAGGATATTGTTAGAACTCATCCCTGGATAAGCCTGGAAGTCCCCACTCCACACAGCAAGACCAGACCTCTCCCAGGGGAGACTGCCCCCCTCAGAGCTCTGGGACATTTCCCAAGCCTGCTGGAAATGGGCTGGAAGCCAAAACTGACCTTCGAAAAGGCTCAAGTCTTAGATGACTGACAGCCCCAGATCCTGCTCTAGGTTCCTTCCTCAGGAAAAGCCAAGGTCAGGCACCAAGCTGTCAAGTTCCTACCCCTCCCTCAGGCTGCAGGCACCAGCCCCATACTCATTATGGGAAGAGGGAGGAAGTCTGGTAAGAACTCTTATTGCAACAGGGCCCAGCCCTATAAAAATGCTGGTAAGCATAGACCTTTACACAGCCTCTGTGTGTGTGTGTGTGTGTGTGTGTGTGTGTGTGTGTGTGTGTGTCTGTGTCTGTGTCTGTGTCTAGGCTAGCCGGGAGTCTCTCAGCCTCACCTGCCAGACAATACCCACTCCCTCCACACCCTGCTGGCTATATTCTCCTGAGATCTCCATCTCCATCTTGGCCAGCCCAGACAATGCCTCCCAACCTCACCGGCTACTACGGCTTTGTCTCACAGAAGAACATGGAGGACTACCTGCAAGCCCTAAATCATGACCTCACCCTCCCAGACCCTTTTCATTCCCCCTTTCCCCTTTCCCTCCCTGTCTCTCTATCCCATTGAGAAAAGGGACTGCTGGGGTTGGATGCTGTGGAAAGGTTCAGGTGGTGGCACCTGACTTGGGATCCATTTCTAGCCAGGGCATTGGTAGGAAGAGTCAGTCTACAGTCTCAGACCCAGCTAAGGGGCAGCCTGCAGCCCCGTGGTGCTGCTGCAGGTGGGGGATCCCCTGGCTGGCTTGAAGGAGCCCCGCTAAGAGATAGCCCCCCCACCCCAGACATCAGCATGGCTCTGCGGAAGGTAGCATTGCTGCTCAAACCAGACAAGGAGATTGACCATCAGGGCAACCACATGATAGTGAAGACCCTCAGCACGTTCCACAACTATGTTCTGGAATTCCAGGTAGGAGTTGAGTTTGAGGAGGATCTAAGGATCGTGGATGGATGAAAATGCCAGGTACTTTTCCTCAGGCTTCGGGGAGGGCACGTGGGTGAGCAGGTAGGTGCCTCTTAACAATCTGGGGCAAAACAAAGTGACCTTTCCCAGCCAGAGCCAGAGAAAGGTGATCACTACAGCAGGCTGCAGAGTCCCCAAGATAACAGTCCCGCAACTGGCTCTCTCCTGCCCCCACTTATTGCCAGCCAAAAGGACAAAAAGGGCAGGTCACCCTCAGTCCAAAGAAGAAATATTTGCTCACCCTCTAGCCTGTGACCCTGTTGGTCACTGTAGAGTCTCTTTTCCCTTAGCCTCTATGAGTCCACTCTCCTCTATTTCTGCTTCTTATGCCTTCTTTTTGGTCTCCTTTGCAGACCCTAGCTCTCCTATTAATCCCTTTAATTGGGGTTTCCCCCAGTATTTTGTTCTTGACTTCCTCTCTTTTGTCTGTACAGGAAAAAATGGGCTAAATCATCTATACCCATGCTTTCTGCTACCATCTATAAACTGTCCTTGACATGGATTCTCTGGCCAGAGCTGCCTCCTGAGCTCCACAGTGGAGTTTTCATCTGCCAACACAATGTTTCCATCTGCATGCCTCAAGCTCGAAGCCAAATTCATTATCTTCCTACCCAAAGTATTCCTGCTTTTATATTTACTGTCTTCATTAATGGCAATAACCAGCTAGACCAGAGACCTGGGAGTCAGAGCAGTATCTTCTGTCCCCTTACCCCTGCACCCCAACACACACACACACACACACACACACCACATCTAGTTGGTCAAGAAGTCTTTATAACTTTTCTTCACTGTCCGGTATAGTTGCTACTAGCCATGTATGGCCTTTGAATGCTTGAAATGCAACTAATCCAAACTGAGGTATGTTTTACGTGTAAAATACAGGGGCACCTGTGTGTCTCAGTCATTAAGCATCTGCCTTCAGCTCAGGTCACGATCCCAGGGTCCTGGGATCGAGCCCCCTCCTCCCCCTCTCTCTGCCCCTGCTTATGTTCCTTCTCTCACTGTGTCTCTCTCTGTCAAATAAATAAAATCATTAAAAAAAAGTGTAAAATACATAGTGGGTTTTTAAGACAATACCAAAAAATGTAAAACATCTCAGTAATTTTGATTTTAATCACATGCTGAAATGATATTTTGGATATTCTAGGTTAAATAAAATATATCATTAAAATTAATTTCACTTGTTTCTTTTTCCTTTTCTAACACAGCTACTGGGAATCTTGCATTTTCTAATGTGGCTTGTTTATGGCCTATTATATTTCCACTGTTGATTCTTCCTAGCCTTTCTCTAGTGCCACCTTCATTCAAGCCCTCATTTCTCGCCTGGTGCCTGAATCTGGCCTCCCAGTCATAATCCTTCTTTAACCCACTCTGCATACTGTAGCCACAAGGATTTACCTAAAATGTAAAAGTGATCATGAATGAAACCCTCTCAGTGACAATTCCTTACGTTCCAGATGAGGTCCGTGGCATACAAGGGTCTTTCCCACAAACACTCTAGTTTAGAGCCCCTTACAACCATGTGACCTTCTTTCTTACCTCTGTGCTGTTCCTTTCCTTGCTAGAAATTGCCCAGTATCTCCAATCTAACTAACTCCTCACTTCCTTGAAGACTCAGCTCTTGCTTCCCCATTCCCATGCCCAACATTTGCCTGGCATCACAGGCACCTATTTTCTGCTCTGTCTGACCAAGAGTCTGAGCTCTTGGTTAGCAGGCCTATCCTATGGGAGGATTTTAATAAATGCTGGTTGGAATACCCAGGCCCACCCCACTCTGATTCAGAGAGGGGAGGGTGATCCTTCACTCTCAGGGACACTTCAGCTGTCCTTAAAACTGAGAAAGCGTTTCCCTGATGGGACTTCCAACCAATCCTCTTCTTTCCCAAAAGACCCTCCAGTCCAGCTGGAAGTATCCAAAGGACAAAGTCTTTGTTCTTCATCACCCACCCACCCCCAATTTTGCCCCGGTTATCCTGCTCCATCCCTGCTCTGCCCTAGTGGTCACTGTAGACGAACTATGGGCCCCCCTCAGTGGCCTTTGGGAGTTGGGGAGGGGAGTCCTGCTGACTCAGAGCAGTCATCTTACTCAGAATGAAGGGGCTGGAGCAAGACCGTATCAGCTGTGGTGTGAAGGGAGGCGGGCAGCCCAGCCAGAGTGAGTTGGATGCATTTGGGGTGTTCTGCCCCCAAATCTTCCCTTATTCCTGCTTTCCCTATAGACCATTGTAACCTGGGAGGAGGAGCAGCTAGTATGTATGCAGAAAGGGGAGGTCCCCAACCGAGGCTGGAGACACTGGCTGGAGGGAGAGAAGTTGTATCTGGTAAGCTGGGTGAGGACTGGGAGAGGGGCCTCCAGCTAGGATTCATCCCCTTGCCCAAATCAAATCAGTCCCCTGCTCTACTCCCTGCCCCCCTCCAAGGAGGGCAACCAAGAAAAGAAAACAAAAGCCCTGGGAAGAGTAGAGAGAGGAAGAAATACAGGGGCCAGGTGGGCCTTGGCTTCAAGTCGGATGAATGTCCATAAATTGTGACGAAAGATGGAGACTGGCCATTTCACATTCCGTGACCCAGCTCCCTTCCTTCCTCTGGGGTGAAAAGTTGAAGGTGTGGGACAATGATACAATTCCCCATACATCAAATGCTCTAGCTGTTGTATCCTGAAGGATTAAACAGAGCTCAGGGACCTAGAGAAAGGAACTCTGGCTGGTAAGAACCTTCTTTCTCTCTCCTCATTATTCCTACTCTGTCCCCACGAACTGACTGCAAGGGATGCAGTGTGCGAGCAGGTCTTCAGGAAGGTCAAGTAGCCAGAGGAGAGCTGAGGGCCCCTCCAGACTGCACTGGTGTCCAGACTCCTCTTGCTCATAACCCTTCAAGCCCAGATTGTCCCAGGTCAGCAGTCCCTTTCTCGGGCCACTTACTCCGCCTCCAGGTCTCTCCTCACCCCTCCCCATGTTAATCCATGACTCGCAGCCCCCGGGCCAAAGTCCTTTTTCCTCACACTCCATTGCTCAGTAGTGGCCTCAGATCCAATTCCTGGTCTGGCCTCCTGGGTGAAAGAACTGGGCAAAGGGGAAAGACCCCTTGAGAACAATGGATCTCAACTCTCTTTAGTTCATTTGGTCCCTTATTTTCCATCTAAGAAAGAACTAAGCTTTGAGTTTTGGGGGACAAGTGAGAATTTTGTCCTGGTGGAACTTTTGGAAAATTGGGGTTCAAGAACTTAAACAGGAACTACTGGTAGAGTCTTTTGTCTGTTTCCTGTCCTTATTCTCAAGAAAGCCACATGCGCTCAGCAGAACCCGGCCCAAGGCAAGACCTCACCCGCACAGAGTTCAACAGACCACAGGTACCAATGTCTGAGTGAATCCTGGCTATCTTGTATTTCCATGCTACATTTTGGGAAAGTGGGATGGGACAGGGTGAGACCTTTGTCTAGTGTTGGAGGAGGTTATGAAGCTTCGGAATAGTGACCTAGCCTCCGTGTCTGCTTTGGGAAGGATAGGCAGCAAGAAGGCTAGAAGAGATTGAAAAGGGAAACAGATGGAAAATACAAGGCCAAGGGCTAGGAAGATGAGGGACACGGGGGTGTGACGACAACAGTAGGGAGAAGACTGACATGCCTGGCTATAGGGGTCCTCTGCTTGAGGGCCAGCAAGGCGGGGCAGAGGATAAGAGGGAGAAGTGAGAACAGCAAGGCCCCTCCCTGAGGGTCCCAGAATACCTTGGAAAAGAGCCCAGAGGGCTGGGCCTGTTCAGGGTCAGGGCCAGCTCCAGCCTCTGGACACCTCCCCACCTCCAGGGGCATTGGTCCTTTCAGAATAAAAGTCCTGTGGGGCAAGAGTCAGGGAGGAGGGGGCTCAGTGTGGGATGGGGACAGAGCCTGAGTGTGTGGGAGGCAGGGGTTGTTGGAAAGTCCCTGGCCTATGCTCATTAGATGATTACCCCTGCCCCCTCTTCCTGCAATGGCTAAGCCCTTACACATTCAAAACAGTCACTAGTTTTGAACACTGATCCTACTAGACACCCTGGAATGAGTTTGGAAAAGAAAAAGAAAAGAACTCTGAGTAGAACTGAATAGCTTATTCCCTGCCAGCCTCTCTGCAGATGTCCCCAGTAGAGTGGGGAATAGAGAGCCCTCCTCTGGGCAAAGCCACCCAGCAGAAGCTCTGGGGACTGCTGGATCCTACCTTGTCCCTTTCCAAGGTACAGTGAAGCCAAAGGAAGATGCTCCATGTATAGTCACCCATTGCCTAAGTCACGAGGACAATGCAATGTCCTGGCCCCTCTGACTTTACAGTGCAGGTTCAAGCCTCTCCCCCGCAGGACTGTCCTCTGTGCCCTTCATGTTGGTCCAGCACCCCTTGCTGCAGTCTTGCCAGAGGGCCTAACCTGGGAATTTGGAGGCCTCCATGGTGATTGTCAGGTCCAATCTAACCACCCCGCCAAAACTCTTGTGACATGAGCATCCAGCCATCCACACTGCAAGTCTACATCCTTCACTTGACCTTACCTCTGCAGAAGCCAGAATCCAACATGAAGCCTGGAGATCCCCAAAGGAGCACAAGCAATTACAGGAGGACTGAGCAGCTTCAGAAACATCACCAAGGAGGTGGGCGGGAGCAGGGACCGACTGAGGCTGGGAAGCCAGGGCTGCTGTTTCCCCTGTGGGCCGCAGGAGGCGCTGATCACTGCAGTGGGAGTCAAAGAAACACCAAGTTTAATCCTCCCTCTTCTGCCACCTTCCTGAATATTCCATTTCCCACCACAAACACACACACACCAATTCCCAACCCGCATACTCACCCTGACAAAACCCCAACCTCTCAATCAAATCAATCTGCTCCATCTGTCCTCAGATGGAAGAGATGATTACCAGGGCACCAGCTGTGAAAGAAGAGAGGGAAATAGCCCTCAAGGGAAGTGCCACCCCCCGCCTGTCCTGGAGCACACAGAGCTGCAGATCCAGGACCAACTTTGACTTTGTTGACCAGTGTGCTAGCCCCCAGGGAGATGATCAGCAATCCAAAATGTTATTTCCACATGAGAGGGAATAACTGCACCCTTCTGAGCCAGCCCCATGCCAGGCCCCTACCCCACTCCCTCTTCCTCAGGCCCAGAGAGCACCGTATGCTCACAAACAAACTTCTGGCCTGAACTTCAGATGATCCTTTAGTCTCAATTCCTTACGTCACTACAGACCCCTCGCCTCCGAAGAAAGTGACCAACAGTGGATAAACAAGAGCAGGTGTATGCCCTCTGAAACAGAGAACCACATGCTGCTCAAGGCCTCGGGCTCCATGTTCTGGTAGGGGACCGTGGAGTAGGCAGAAGCAGCAAAGTATAGCCAGGTACCCCTCCCCATGCCCCCTCTCCCTTCAGCCACTATCTCTCATGTGACCCCCCCACGCCACATGCCCAGACCTGCATGTTGAAAAGAAAGCTCAGGCAAAAGCAGGAAATTCCTCAACTCTAAAGCTCAAAGGCCATCCCAGCCAGGAGCTCCATCCTATAACATGGTTGGACCCCTTATTGGAAGCAGGGGACCCTTAGAAGCCTTTGGAAATCCTGGGATCCCAAGAGAGAGCAGAGGCCTGGCCATTTGACCCCTTTCCCCAACCCAAATGTTACCCCCCATGAGGCAAGAACTATATCTGCTCTAAGCTCACGTACCCAAAGGTCAGTATGAGGCCAGGAGTTCCCGATATAGCTAAGGATGGCCTGCTCCTTCCCTCCTGCCTCTCCCTGCCACAGGCTCTTCCTCTTCTGGAGCTTGCTGCTCCTACCCAGCCTGGGAACCACCTCCAGTACCTCCACTCAGCTCTCTGGGATGTCTCCCCTGACTTCCCCGGGCTATAACCCCCTCAATCACAGCAGCAACCATGCCATCAGGGCCCCCAAGGACTGATCTGGAGTCATCCTAGTGCTATATCCATGATTATGGACAGGTGAGGATGGGGGAAACCTTGTAGGTATAGCAGGAGCTGAAAGGGTATCGGGTGAGGGAACTTGATGGCCAAATCAGGGAGCTCTGTGAGGGACTCTGATGGGCTGACCTGGGTTTGTGTCAAGGGCAGGAAGAAAGAAGGAAGGAAGGACAGAAAGAAAGAAAGAAAGAAAGAAAGAAAGAAAGAAAGAAAGAAAGAAAGAAAGAAAGAAAGAAAGAAAGAAAGAAAGAAAGAAAGAAAGGAAGAAAGGAAGGAAGGAAGGAAGGAAGGAAGGAAGGAAGGAAGGAAGGAAGGAAGAAAAAGAAAGAAAGAAAGAAAGAA